CGCGGTCAAGAACGACTGACGGTGTAATGGCCAGCTAACTAAGTAATAGTAAATAGTGGTCAGTGTGACGTGACTTTCCCAGGCAACTTTGAGAGTAATACAATGTGCAATATCTCCGAATGAAGGTGAGATTGTGTTCTTAAGGTATTTAGTTCAAATTGTCAAATTTTGAAGCTACTTTTATATTTTAATATTTTGACAATTTGAAACGACAACTTTAGTGTATCAATTATCAATTTAAGTATATCAAGTATATCAATTTAATTATGCAAGCGACCTGTAAGATATTTTCCGGTTCTTGAAGTTAAAATCACCATTTATTAAATTGATTTTTAACGTCGGTTTTAAAGAAACTAAATTTTTAATATAAATTATTGTATTCAATAGAGGTTTTTGTTAAACATATTAAATTAAATGAATTTTTGGCTGACCATACATCATTACCACTTTACGAAATGCCTTTTAAGTGGACTGCAGATATAAAAGAATCTACGATATAAGAGTTAAAGGTTATATCTTAATCAGTCCACGAAAAATGGGTGGAGGATTGAGTAAAGCGACATTGTAGTTATTTATCACAGGATTGGGCTTATTTTAAAGGAGATAAAGTTAGTTTTGGTTCTATGTTTTTTTTTGCGTTTTATTCAATAAATATTAGGATTTTTAATTAATTTCAAAGTTACTTTTATTTTTGAAAAAAGTGGTTTTTTGGTTTACAATATTCTCTCTTTTACATATATTTCCATCTACTTATTTAAATAAATATAATAATTAAAATAAATGAGTCCTTAAACGATAAGTATTTAGTTTACTTATTACCTTATATAGACGCAACATAAATTGCTTCTGTGCTAGATCATTGTGTAGATGAGAAATATTCCAAAAAACCATAGCAAAATAAGAAAAATCTTCAGACGACCAAATGATTTTAACTTCTTATAGATGGATTTAAACAACTTGTAGATATACATTGAATTGAGTATGTCATTGATAGACGGGTTATTAATATTCATCAACTCAATTAACGCATCGCTCTTGTTTAAGTTGTCCTCAATAGTGCTTTCCATCTCTGCCAGCTCACTGATAGAATTTTGAACCTCTTTTAAGGCCTCATTCTGCACCTCTATACAGTTATGGCGTTGCTCTTCAGTATCACTTTCTTCAAGAACACAACCTGCTTCACATTCAAATTCCGGCTTATAAGGACACTGGGCCACATGAGACTTGAGATCTCGCACTTTTATGATGACATTGCATCCGCTGTCTGCATAATCACAGTTAATATGTAAGTTTGAAATCCGAATGCACAAGTCTGGTCCTGCATCATAAGTTTTGCGTATTGAAATACGTTTGCCACAAGGACACCTTCCAGACACGGACCAAAACGCCACCAAACATGCCTGGCAAAATTTTTGCTTACAGGTTGGCTCAGTTGTTGGCTTCTCCATGACTCCGCGGCATAAACTGCAAATCATGCTACTTGAAATTTTCTCGTGAAATCTGTCTAAATCGTAACCCATCCTCCAAGACAAAGATTAGAAAATTCTTCAAAAATTTGGTTATTTTAAATAATAAAACGACAAGTAAATTTAATGAAACTCTGTCGATAAAATTTTTTTTTAATTGATTACTGAAGTTGAAGTTTGTTTCATTATTTTTACTTTTGACATTTAGTCGACCAGTTACTAAGTTTTTAGTAGTACTGAAAACTTCCGATCTATTATTTGACAATATATGCTGCACATAAATTTCATTGTTTTAATATTTTTGTAATTAATTTAAACTATTTATGTACACATGGTGAGAGTAATCAAGAAAACTCTAAAATTGGTCCTGAGAATCAGGACCTTTGAATATAGATTGAAATAGTTTTTGATGAAGCCCGTGTTCTAACAAAAGAATTTGCCACAGAAGTTGTAGTTAGTGTCAAAGATTATTAACTCATTGAATAATATATTTTGACAGCAGATATATCAAAGGTCACTTGTGAGAAAATTTGATTGATTCCAGGTAATAGTCTTTGTTGGGTGTCTTTTCAAAGTATGGATAGTAATAAACAGTATTTTCGAAAAGGTAAAAATTCTGAATGTGTATGACGAATATGTTGGAATATCAGTGCCAAATTTCGATCCAGTTTTATATTGGAGATGTACTATGTGCTGGATGACCACAACCTGGCCGTGAATAAATTGAACATGACGACGACATTTTTTTCAGATATTAATATCTCTCGACTAAGATAGAATAATTCAGGACAAACTTAACAATATGTTAAAGGCGGATAACTCTGGAGAACAATAAGTTAAGAAAGAACATAAGTACGACAAATAGATAATGTGGTAGTAAAATAATGTAAAGATCTTTTAACTGATAGGTAGTGTTAAGAGATAAAAATAAATGAACAGACTCATTGAGACGATTAAGATCGGAACCGAGCTCTGTTAATTACTGATGAACATAGCAGTGCTGTATATATAATGTCAAACCCAAACATATATTTTTTTTGTTATACATAAAGGCCTCTGGATTGTATATATAGATATATAGGAATAACAAACAAGCAAATTGGTTTCAAGTAAGTTAATAACTGATTCTGAAAGCAAGTTGACACCTAAAGTAATTTACTGAAGTAGTTATACTTTTCATCACATCTTCTTATTATTCTATTGTTTATCTATTGTTTATTATGGTACAGAATGTTGTTGTTTGTGTTATATGTAGTTCAAAACGATGATATCGAATTGATTTTATTACTGCTTTGTACTATACACCCTGTATGTACATAAAATAAAAATTTTTTTAGAAAATACTATAAATTCTGTTGAATTGCTATATTTACATACAAAAACTTTCTCATTAATAAAACAAACGTGAATTAAAAATTAAATGAATGAATTTATATTACAAATTGGAAATTAAGTTTTTATGATTTTCCAGTTTGTTTATTTATGAATTGAGTTTTTATGAAGTCAGAGACTTTTCAGTCCACACACTCACATATATATATACCTATCAGCATCATAAATAGAAATTTATTAAAGAAGCGTGTTCTTTTGATTACGTTTATGTGTTGTTCTAATTAATATTTATCAATTAAATAAAAAATATTAAATATATTATTTATACCGTACTTATAAATAAATATTGATTATTATTTACTAGTTATGTGATTACTATCACGAAAACTGTGAGAAACCATCGTTTAAACTATGACAGAAATATATATTTAAGTAAGCTTATTTTACTTAGAAGGTATTTAGAGGATCGCTTTTTAGGAGATATATATAATATAACGCCATTCAAAAAACTGATAATCGGTTGACTAACGTCTTCTTTTTATTAAGCAATGTTTGGTAAATCATATTGCAAATATTTTAATTATAGAAGTTAAATGTGTGGGTAGGATTTAAAGGCAAATATATATAGATTAATCAGGTCAAGATATATTTTCTTAGTTATATAGATAAGTAGGTTAGCATACGTGTTCGTCGGCTTCTATTGTTTGAAAACCGTTACAATTATGCGTAATTAACTTAATGTGATACCACCTGATTTCAGTGGAACCTCTGTTTATATAATAACACTTTGTTAAACCGCTTTATTAATGTTACAAATGGTTATAATTTTTTTGAAGAAACGCTGGCAATATAAGAGATATCTTCTATCTAATAGAAACAAATTATAATCATTTTTTCCATTTGCTATGCACTCTACAGGCATATAGAAGTTGTTAATTAGCTACTTCTTCCTTCTCATTACGAAAACTTTTACACTTATCATTGGATGTGATACCAGTCATTATGGATGGCGGTCTGTGCTGATCGTGTTCAATAATGACTTACGTTCATGTTAAAATTTCAGTTCTTCACATAGATCTCTTCGCCTCCCTGACTTTTCTTGGTCTGCTTAAGTCAGATATATTAAGCCTCGTTTGTGTAAATATGTTCCTCGACTTTACTGTTAATCACTATAATTCCTTTAGAAATATATTTCTTACTATTAGTTTATAAGTTGCTTAAGGAAGGAAATTCTTTTCTTTGTAGAAGAATTTGAATAATGCTTGAATAATGCGATTATTAGGCTTTCAATCAACTTAAGCACAAGCGACGGTTTTGTATTGTTATCTCCCAAATGGATTCTGCTTCTGCTTAGTTTCAGTCATTCATAGAGATTCATAGAGTGTTCAGATGTTTTAATATTTACTTCACAAAAGTAGCAAAAACTGATGCATAAAAGTCTATTTCATTTATATGGTACCTTAGTCTACACTGCCATAATAGAAGCCTGACGAAAGTTTTTGTATTTTCTCTGCTCAGAGTAAGTATTATTACAAAGACTATCGTAGATTGGTTAATGAATCTTTTGACCTATTTTCGGCTTTACCGTTTATCCAATAATTTTTAAATTTAACCAGTAACTGAGTTTGTCCTCAGTGCCCTATTCTGGATTGGAAATGTTAATTTTGATTTTATTTAACATAAGATTTCAAGTGGTTTCTAAATATGGTCAGGTATCTTAAGGAGTGGATCAGCAAGTACTATGTCTACTATAATCATGTGATACTGTAAGTCCCCTTTTATCATTATCATATTACCACTGTTCTGAAGACAAAGTGCAGCAGCACATGCTCTTCGAATGCGAATAGTGAATGGCGGAATGCTTGTGATCACACTCCATGCATCCGTGGTAATAGTGCTCATGGTTTTGGCATGTAAGTCGATGTAGTTCACTTAAGGTAACTTCAGCGTTTTTCTTTTTGTTTGACCTTAGACCACCAAATAAGTGGTATGTATATAATTATTGGTTTGATTATTTTTAAAATATACCTTAAAGTTAAAACCTTATGTTTTTTTGCCACAGATAATATGTTTCTGTTACTTTGTTGGCAGTATATTGAAGCTGTGAAATTCAGTTGAGAATTTTGTCCAGGATAGCACCCAGGTATGTAGCTTTATTGTTAAACAACAGTTTTATTAAGGTTTCAACTTAAGAAATTTTAGGTCTTCTTTGGTCTCATACAGCTACGTTAGATAATCGTTGTATACGAACAAAGTGGAAGGAGGATTATTTGGCTTCCGCTCTCTATAAAATTTTCGTTCTTCTTCGGTCTTATGAAGCTATGTTAGATAATCGTTGGATACGAATAAAATGTAGGATGAATTATATCTCTCCGTTCCCCACAAATTGCGACTGTTAAGCCAATTAATCTCAGGGAACAACACATCCCTTCTGGCATCATGAATAAACCATTTCAGTTAATGAAAAAAATAAACAAATACATTAATGAGCGTAAAATATTATCACAATATGCTTCTCCCCAGAGTATGGAAACATTTTCCATATATTTCTTTCCTGTTGCCTCAAACATAATTCCGTTTTTTAACTGGCGTGTCTGACGTCTGTCAGCACAATAATAAAGAAGCTGTTAGCATAAAAAAAAAACAAAAAAAAATATTGATAATAAAAAAGAGATTGGCACACTTCATCCGGGGTCAGTGGAGGTCATTCAATGTTGACCAATACCAAACTGAACTACAATTGTTACCATTTGTTATCAGATGTATACGATCAGTGAAAACTGAATATATCAAAATATATATTTTGATATTTTCACTTAGCATTTTGCATTTTGCATAAAAAATGAAAAATAAAATATTTTTTATAACAAAAGAAATAATAAAAAAAATAAATGCAAAATCCCATGCAAAGTGGTGCTGCGTAGGGTGCAACCGAACGATAATTGCAGTCGGATTAAGAATTTGTTGGGCTTCATTTCGGTAAACGAGTAAAGCGAAATGAAATCGGTGCGTTCACGGTGCATTTCAATAGAAAATATGTTGAGTGCACGGAAAACTGCAGTTCTATTGTCCACTACCAGAAATGCCTAATGTGCGTGCATGTACGACAACAATAGCCGAGCTGAAAATAATCCGCTTTGAATGCAAAATATTCCAGAATTCAATATGAAAATATGTGGAAAGAATACCATAAATTGGGATATGTAGCGACCAGGACAGCTTAACGTATATTTGTCTGTCCTTTAATGAGGGTAAACTATGCATTGCTTGGACGCGTGCCCAGTGTGTAGCGCTGATAGAAGAAATGAACTAGGATTGGATCCAGCTGCGCTGACCCTGATTTTCACTTTGTTTGTGGGTACGATTTTACTTTCATTTCAATTTTATAAGATTTTTTCTCATTTTTTTATTTTTATTAAATCGCTTTTTTAGTGAATTTAATGAAGTCCAAAATTGTTTAGTATTTTTCTGCTTGTGTATAAAATATCATATGAACTATTTTGTATCTTTTGTTAAATGCAAATAATTTGCATGCGCCCCCTGAAACTAATCTATTGTCCTCGTTTGACTGTTTAATTGTCATCCTTTTGCGACATATTATTGAGTCCTTTTGCGGAAGTGTCCTCAAATATTGATTGACAACTGATTGGCACATCCATTGTTTGTAGAAAATCAAGTGGGAATTTGGCATAAATTGACTATTTTCCTTGGATTACTTTATTAAATCAATTTCTTTCAATATGAAACATTTGCTTAGGTATTGTATATACATAGATTGTATATATGGTGTTTATATATATTGTATATATGTATTACATGTTTAACTACATTCAATGGTACTTGTGAATTCATCACGTCAGACAATAATTGATGATGTGCTTATTATACAAAGTTAAACTCGAAGCTTCTCTAATAGTCACAAAAACTATACATTATTATATGGTCAGATAGTTATATACCAAAAACCATATATATCATATTACCTGAGATCAATGAATCCAAACTTTATTCATGTCATATTTTACCTAAGAGCTTCTAATTCATCAAACGTATTGGTGAAATAACAAGAGCTAGATAATTATATTTACTACAGATATAGATATATATATAAAAGATAAACTCAAATTGATATTAATAATTTTAATGACTTTATTAAGATTAACAATAAATAGAATATAATTTAGAGAATTAAATATACACAACGTAATCACTACCGTAACTCTTTGACTGCCGACTGTTGACTGCTGACTTGACTTCTGCTACTTGAACGATTTCTACTTGACTGCTTAACCGGCTCCCACACATAAATATATTTACATAAATAAATGATAGAATGTTTCATTATAGACAGTTATATTATATGAAATATATCTTTGAGTCCCGCAGGTGTAACAGTTTTTCTGAACGTGTTTCGAACTTACATTTACTACTTCAGAAGAAAAAGTAACTTATCTAGTTAAAGGTTGCAGACCCCTTTCCAGGAACAATACATTTTTAAGCTGAAAACAAAACAGTTCACTTTGTATAGGATTGTCCACTATATGATTCCTAAAGTAAACTTAAATATAATACACCTGAGATTTAGATTATTACAAAATTTTTTTTTTTTAATATTCAAAAGGAATCAAATGTCTTTTATGGGATATCTTACTGTAGTGGATCTTTTCAAAAACTGGCAGTAATGCTGAGATGATCTGCCGTTAAATAATAAGACAAGTGTTATTTTTTGAGTCTTAATAAAGGTTTCAATACCACAAATCTGAATTCTTTTAATTGTTTTCATAATGATATCTTACTCATATACATACGATATATACATATAAATAATCAATATAACTTAAATAGTAAAAGACCTGCTATAATGTATTGATTATATACTAGAAGTACATACACATATGCAAAAATAAAAAAATAAATATTAATTAAATATAACAAAAGCAAAAATACTAACAGAAAAAGAAAAATGCTTTTCTACTGATAAGAGGAGACAGACTTTCTTTAACGAGTTTTCTTTCTGACAAGATATTCTTTGTTTAAAATAAGTCTTAAAATATTCTTCAATGTTCTTATTGTGAATTGACTAAATATTGTGAATTGCACGTGGTTATTTATTGCTACAGAGGGCGCTTATGGTGGTTCTGCAATTAGCTGAACTCAGTAGGCAATATATACCACTTATAGCAGTGACATAAACCAACTCCACCTCTTGAATGGTGTAAACGTCGAAGGTGAATATACATTACACCTCAATGAGTTGGAATTTATTATAGCTTAGCTATAACATTCTTGATGACATTCTTGACATTCTTGACATTCTTGATGTATTTCTTCTTTATTTGCAACGTTAATGCTATTTTTATTTTTATCATAATTTAAAATAATTTTTAAAAAATGACAATTGTTTTCATTTATGTTAAAAGACATGTTCTGAAGTTATTTCATGTTCTCCATATCCACGTTAAAGGTAATTAAAAAATTTCATTCAATGTTCCAAATGTGAGAGACATTCGGAAGTCGATTTGGCCCGCTATTTTCTACTATATATTTTCTGACTAATTTCGACCTAAAATTAAAGAATTGAATAGATTAAATTTGTTTTATGTCTGGAAGTAATACTAACGTAGTTCCGGGGCATGTCTCTTAGAATAAGCGGGTAGGCATAAACTGTGAGAGTCGGTACTCAATTTCTGGGTTTTCTGTTTGTGGTCAGTGCATAAACAATCTCCAGCTTTCTGCCGCAAAAAAAAACATAAAAAAATTGGTTTTCGTTGTAAGACAGTATTGTACATTTATCATATGAAGGATAAATTTGTAGTCAATTGTCATGAAATGAAGAGACCATAGTTCCATTAAGTAATCACTGAGAATGATCAAGATCTGCGAATGGTAAAACATTACCAAATCATAGTCTACAGTATATTTTTTAGGACTATCACTATGAATTATCATACTTCGCTTTATTAAATAATTTGATATTATTTTATAAATTAATTAGAATTATGTCTAGTCTCCGAATATGTCCGTATGTACGATCTTCCTATTACCCTTTAATTTAGAGCCTCATAGCAGTATTGTAAGCAATATTTTTAATATGGATATCTATCTTTGTTAAGTCGAAGTATATAATTTACTGATATGTGAATTGACAACAACATTTGGTAGCATGATATTTGGACACATTATTCATCAAAAGATAAATTAGATATACTGTAACTGGAATTCTTTATAATTTGATTTACTTAAGGCATCAATTTATTACTATATACTTTTTCTCTGTTTTATTGGCTTTATAAAGTTAACTAAATTAGTTCATCAATAAAACGATTTAAGTCTGTTAAAGTAATAAAATTTTTTATTTTTTCTTCTTTGACGTATATATATTGAAGTTGGTATAATTATGTTATATTATATATAAAGCATAAATATAATACTTTTTATTACATATAAAAAATGAGACATAAATTTTATTCAGAATTTGAAAGCATATTTTTTGAATTTATAATAAATTAAATTAAATGGACTAATATATATAATGACCTACATTAAAAAAAAAAATAATAACAATCCATCACAAATAATCGAAAAATATATTTACAATTAATAGATTTTTCTACAATCTAAGTTTTAAATAAATTAATACAAAGCAATTATTTTAGATATACAAAAATTATTTATTGTTTTGGCTGAACATATTATTTTAGTATCTACAAAAAAAAAATAAATTGGTTGGAAACATAAATAGTTGAAAAGAAAAAATAGTAAGAATAGTTCTTAGACTCTTACAGAGAGATTCTTGAAGAGCGATCATGGAGCCAATAGGTCTCCATATCCAAAGTTAATCATTTAATTTATCTCTTCAACAATTTTCTAGATTAGGTGTGATATTTTAGTTTGTTTTAGTTTACTTATTTCAGTAAGTAAATATTTTGTGTATGTATGCTATATCTCTCTTTTGTATGAAAGATATATGCGAAAATAATAAAAGAATTTTACAACTCGTATTTAAGTCTATGAAGATTCTCTCGTTAATGTTAATCGTTTTGTAAATTTGAAAAAGGAAAAACAATACACTAAAATGAATAAAATAAGAGTGATAAAAATGGAAAGAAGAAAATATTATAAATAATTTTAAAAATTAATGCTAACAATAATAACAAAATACTTCCAATTATGTATTAACTATATAATGCATTATTAGAGGTGAATCCGATTAGTCAAATGTTAAGGGATCAGTTATATAGTATAGAATGTCAGACATCAAACCATTTACTTAATCCAAAATATCCGAATAGGAAAAGTGCATATAAATTGATTCGTTTTGTCTTGTATTTTCTTTAAAGGGTAAGACGAGACCAGCGTCCTCAGTTGGCAGACTATTGTGCTCTAGCTAGTTGAACTAGCTAGAGCTATAGGTCTGAAAATGCAAGAGAAACAGCGAAGAAGCTTGTTTAGCTAAAATTTCTTAATTGTTTTATTTCTGTCAGGTTTTCCCCAAAGTGTTCCATTACTTTCAAGGAGTACAATGTGAATCATCATAGGTGTCCTAGCAGAGCTCTTATTATCCACGCAATCACTCAATTGATTCTCTAAAACTTCGCAGTAACCTTAAATCCATGTATGAAGTAGTTTATTATGTTTTGTAACACTGTTTAATTTTATCTCGACATAGGTAATTTAATATAGAGTTTCGAATAGTGGTGGTTTGCAACAACAAAAATTTTTTTTTATTTTAACTGATTGAATAAGAAATAATTCCAACTTCTGTATCAAGCCTCTGTTGTCCACATATTGACAATAACATGAAGTTAGCAGCAACCATTGGTTATGGATGTAATAGTATGTTTTCACTGGCATCATTAGATCAATTAACTTACTTGAGATTGCTTGAATTATCTGCATCCCAAGTTAACTGGTCTAATAAAGCCAGTGGAAACGTGCTATAATACTCTTGAAACCGTTTTTCTAATATTTCCTAGGTTCTACAAAAATTCGTTGAATAACCAATTTTCTGCTAAAATGAATGGATTTTCTGCGAATGGAAAAAAGTGCTCCGGCTAGAAAGGTGTTTGATTCGGTTTTTGGTGGAGGAATCTGGTGGAGGTGCCTAACGATTTGGGGGCGTTTGGTACTACCAACTGGCGACAGCAAGCAACTAATCGGGCTGGCTGGTGGAGGCTACTCAAGGTGGCCAATGACGACTCATGTCTGTAAGTATCTCTTTGGATTAGTCCATAAAATTTCGTTTATAAACTAATGAAAGCAATGAGTAAAATTAATAATTTATGCAGATGTATATATCAAGGTAAGAGGTTGAAGGTAAGAACATAACTGCGTAAACTAATGAATCTCCAACTTGTTTCTATCAACCAAACTCAATACATGATTTCATGTCAAGAAAAAAATATATACTTATTAAAATTAATAATAATAATAAATAAATATATGAATAATTTTTTTTGTTTTGATATCCCATAGATGTACTAAAATGCGAGTTGTATTACCCAGTAAGTGCGCCAATGTTTAGGAAATTAAGAATTAACTTTTGAGCAAATAATTTATAAATTTATAAATATTTATGCATATATTTAATACAATATATAGATGTATTCGTTTTTATTCATTTTAGGAATAAAGGTAAATATTAATTTTTGATTATTTTGTTGACAAATTTTTAATTAAATTTCTCTTTTTCTTTATAAGTTAAACAAGTTTAATTTATACAAACGCGCTTAATGCGAAGGAAGTTGAATAATAGATCGATTGAAATTCCAAGAGATAATCTGAGTTCAACTAATAAGACTAAAACTCTATAAATATTGCTAAGTAATGTTTAAGTAAATGCATTACTTAATACTTAATACTTAATACTTAATACAAAGTAATTTCAATATGCATTATTTATAATAAATAGCATTTGTATTTAAATATACAAATTAATAAATGATTATTTAAGTTTTCTGTTATACGTAGTTTTATATATACTATGTTGTATATATGTATATATATATATATATGTAATTATAAAATACAATATATGCAAATGTAATTATAATTAATTATACCATAATAATTTGGATAATAACAATTAATTGAGTTCTTATGTTGATGGGTTTACTTATCTCTAAAAAGCAGTCATTTATTCTCCTTAAATTTTACAATTCGTTCGAATGAGTTTCATCGAATTTACAATTGATTTTAATAATAATGAATGATATCTTAAATTAAATAATTATTAATACAATATATAATGTATAATGTTTAATTATGAAATATAAATACACACGAATTATATACAGATAAATAATTCAATTTAATTACTTAATTGCTAATTAAAGTAATGAAGCTGACTGATGATGTTTTACAACAAATTTACAATTATTTACTTTCAAATTGATATAAGGTTTACATAAATAATAATATTTACATACATATATATAAGATCAAAATACACAATTTTTGATAATATTTATATAATATAATAAAAAAAAATTTTAAATTTTTAATTATGAATTAATATTTTTTTATGTAGAGAAAATAACATTTTTTTTGGATATAATAGATTATTTGGAATATGTAAAGAAATAAATATAAATTAAAAGAAAATAAAAAGAATTGTATAAAATAAAAATACAATAAAATATAATAAAATAAAAATAAATATAAAGAAATAAAATAAATTAATAAAAAGATAAGAAAATAAAAGAATTGCATCAAATAAAATACAATAAAATAAAATACAATAAAATAAAATAAAATAAAATATAATGAAATAAAATAAAATAAAATAAAATAAAATAAAATAAAATAAAACAAAATTAAATAATAAAATAAAATAAAATAAAATAAAATAAAATAAAATAAAATAAAATAAAATAAAATAAAATAAAAGTTAATATGTGTATTAATAAATTTAATAGTAAAATAATTGAGAAATATTTATTTAAGTAAAATAATTTTAAAATATTTAAATTTAATAGTAAAATAATTTTAAAATAAATAAATTTAATAGTAAAATTAAAGGGAGGATTTCTTTTGTGTGGCTAGCAACGCCAACCAAACAGATACTTCTTGAAGTAAAGCAAAAGCGGTACCGGGGAGAGGAATAAGTCTCTTCGAAGAGGAGTCAAGAACACCATTTCCACGACGGCTGATCTGACGGTGCATAAAGCATTCCAATCCTTACGCAACACAAAAAAAATACAGTAAAATAAATAAAATTCATAAAATTTTAATAATATGAATTCAGAAATACTTTAATCTTCGCAAAAAATTTAAAGTTATAATATGAAATTAACAAATTAATTAGGACTACGACTGGTTGGGACACATCATCAGATTGCCTATCGAAAGAAAGCAGTAAAAGATATTTGAAGAAGGAATTCCGAGAACGCGTAAAAGAGGACTATCCAGAAAGAGTAGATCAATGTGGCTAAACATGATTTACGTATATTAGGGGCCTTTGAGAGCAGCAGTAAAAAAAAATGGAGGAAGAATGAAAAGCAGGGCTAGGTCCTTAATGGATTGTCAAATCCCATTGAGGGGCTCAAATAAAGTTTAAGTTCGATTTCACATTCATAAATTAAGGCTTAATATCAAGAACAGAACGGTTAAGGTCACAATCTATTTATTATTTTGTTTAGTTGTGGTTTTGTTTGTAAAATTATATATATGTTTTGTTTAAAATTTAAATATTTATAAGCATTCAAATTCAAATAAAAATAAATAACACATACGATTAATCAATGTTTAGCTTAGCATTTAGACCGATTCTGTAACATACTCCACATAAACCGTTTATTGGATTCTGACCATTGTGTTACCTTTGGGTTCCAGTTTTGACATATCCCCCATCTAGCTGTTGCGTTTTGTAGAGAGTTATTATGAAAGGCATATTCCTAGTTTACAAGCTACCTATATCATTTTAAGTAATTCATTGCATTTAAAAATTTTGTAAGACTTTTGAAGAACTATCATAATCATAGTTCTTCAAAAAAAGTTTTGCAAAAATTGTAGCCCTGCTTAAAGCTTAACATTCTTTTATGAAAAGTAGAAGCAGCAGAGATCGTCACTTAAAACTACATGCCTCTATCGTCACTATGCATATCTGCTTGTTAAGTATTGACTGGAGGGATATAATATTCCTACTTTTGGTCCTATTCCTTAAATCAAATCGATTTAGACTGTCGATTTATACATACTAAATAGATTTAGTATGCATAAAAATGCATACTGATTTAATGGATTATTGATATTTATATTTTATAGATATAAAAAATATCTTCAGTTAAGTAATAGTGACTAATATTTATATAATATTGTAGAAATTTTTAAGCTCTATATGACTTCAATATATCTATGTTCCACATGATTAATATTTAATTCTTGATTTAAGAAAGAATATATATATTTTAAAATCAAATTTGAAACTTATTTTTGGGTAAATTTAATTATTTGCTTATTATTATGTTTCAAGACGTATTCTCAGGAATGCTTGTTCTCTTATATTTTATTAAATAGGGTCAACCATAAATAAAAAAATTTTTAATTACAACAGTATATGTGGTTTAATCTGAACTAAATTGAATAAATTTAATATATAAAATGGCAAAAATTTTTTTAAATCAAAAATATGTTCTATTTCTTGTCAATAAATTTCTTTGACTTAATAAATAAAAAAAATGTTTCATTCAATTCGATATATCGTATATGTAGAGATGTCCTTTCTTGAAAAGAAATAATTTTTTATTAACGATCGCAGCTACGACATGCAAAAAATATAAGAATAACAAAAATATCACCAAGAATTAATTAATTAAATTAATAAAACTAAATTTCCTAATTAAAAAAAAACCAAAATAAATAAAAAAAAAATCAAAAATTTGTTGTTTTTATAAAAATTTTACATTTATATATATTTATTATTTTTTCTCAATTGTTGTTTTGTTTGCACTGGTTAACAAAATATATGTATATATATATTTAATTATATATATTTAAAATTTTTTTACATATAATATAAAAATAAAAAATAATATTTTATATTACTATATATAAAAAAATGTTGTTTCCCTTTTATATTTGTATTTGTATTTTAATTTTAATTTTTAATTCCTAATTTTATTTTACACAATATAAAAAATGTGTAAAAAGTCTGCTATTAGTAAAAAAATTTTGCATTAATAATATATATGTATATAAGAGTATATATATACAATTTTTATGCTTAAATGTATGTATATATAAATGTAAGATAGTATATATATGCTTGTTGTTGGTGTTTTGCCTTACAAAAGTTAGTAGAATGCTTTTAGTCTATGTACGTTTGCATTTCTTTTTTTATAAGATATAATTTCTATGTATATGACTTAAAAATTATTTATATATATATATATATATGTATATATTTTAATTTTGCTTACTTTCTAATCAGCCTCATAAATAAGCTTAAAGTTTAGAAGTTTTAAAGTTTCTTGCTGATTTCATTTGCTTATATTAAATTATATAAAAAATTTTAGTTACAAAAGAAAATTTAATTATTAATAAAAAAATGTATATTTAGAGTATAGAAAATTTGATTATTAAGAAATATGTATATATGTAGATAATCAAGCTTTTGTTTTCAAAAAAAAAATATCATAAAAAAATTAAAATAATAATTTAAAATAATTTATTCTTTTATTTGCGACCAAAACTATTATATAATAATATATTAACGAGCTAATAGGTTACTCAAATAGAAATAAAAAAACTATAATTTATTATTTATATTTAAAAAACAATTTATATTTTATGTCTTCGATAGTTATCTTCAGGGAAACTCTGAACATCAACTCAGTTTCCCTAAAAGATAGTCGAAATATCGGAAAAATATTTAAAAAGAATATAAATTGCTTTTTAAATATAAATAATAAATTACAGTTTTTTTAAATTTATATTTAAATGATCAATTAGCCCGCTAATAAATTTTTAAATAATAATTTAATTTAAATTAGTGACAAGAGCCGGTAACTCTTTGATCAATAAATAATTTTATCTCATAAAAATAAATATTTAACAAAATATTAAAAATTAAATTTAATATAAACATTAATGTAATTTTTTATATTAAATATTAATTATTAGAATTAATTATAATTATAATTAAAATAGAATTATACAATTTATTTATTTAATTTAATATAAGCAAATTTTACTCTCAGCATTTTTTCATATATTTTGCATTTTTTCATATTTATTTTCACTTACTTACTGCATTAGCTTAGAATATATATTAGATAAATGACTTAAATCTAATGCTTTATGAATGAATACTAAATCTAGACGTTAGATTACTAGTTGATGTATTAAAAAATAAAAAAAATTTCTAATAATTTTTCCAAAACGTTACCTGCTTTATTTGGCCACTGTTTGTTAACAATTAAAATATTTTGTATAAATATTTTTTAATATTTTTTAATATTTTTGCTTTGTATAAGTAATTCGTCGTATATGTTTCGTTTCCAAAAGTATTTTTAACTATTTTTAACTATTTTCTATTATTTTCTGATTTGATTGCTTTAATTTGTTTATATGATATTAAATTCAGTTATTTTTATTTTATTTTTAAAAACAGTTTGTAGTAATTTTGATTATCGCTTTCTCGGTATTATTAGGTATTAAGTTTTCGTTTTAAATATTTTTATATATGCAAACGGAATCATAAATTTAAATATATGAGTTTAAAAAATTTCAATTAGTAATTAAATGATAAAAAAATTAATATATACCAAATAATAAATTAATATAAAAAATTTATAAATAAATTAAATTAAAAGCTGTTAAAACCTTTTGAAGTCATAAATGTGTGTCCCAAACACAATTGTGCGATTTGTCGTTGTGGTCTGTGTTGCAACTACAATTTCAGACATATAATCGGTTGACTCCGAATTCAGTCCAATATATTGAACAACTGTTGCGACAAAATGCAGTTCAATAAGTTAAACAATTTTTGTCGCAGACAATTTTTATTTTTGCCATGCGTCGTCAACTAAGCCTTAGAACTCAACTGTTGCGTCGAAATGTTGTTGAAGACAATTGTGCGATTTGTCGTTGTGGTCTGTGTTGCAACTACAATTTCAGGCATATTGTCGGTTGACTCCGAATTCAGTCCAACATATTGAACAACTGTTGCGACAAAATGCAGTTCAACATATTGAACAATTTTTGTCGCAGGCAATTTTTACTTCGTCATGCGTCGTCAACTAAACCTTACAACTCAACTGTTGCGACGAAATGTTGTTGAAGACATTTGGAATGTCGCCCGTGCCTAGTGCATCATAAACACAAAAATTCATATTAACGAAATTAATGCCATGCATTTCTTCTGTTGCAACCACATGAAATCAACATTTGTAAACAATTTTTGTTGCATGCATTTTACTCAGTTTGATTCGAACTCGCTTCGCTTTAGGCTCACATTGAGTGAAATATCATTGAGTGACATTGTTGTACTCATTCACATTTTGTGATTTAGTGCATTGTAAATTTTTTAATAATTTTAATTTTAATAAATTTTGTGTTTTATACAAAATTATTAATATTTAAAAGACATTTAGTTTACATAAAATGCCAATGTTCTCATTGTTGAGCTTGCATAAAGAATTTTTGTCGCATGAATCTGACATAAGTCCTTTTTACTTTAAGTTTACTTTGAGTGAAATGTCAGTATTGTTTTTGTTATTATGCAATTATTTAGTACGTCCAGAGTAAGAGTATTAGAAAAATATTTTACTCTTTGAGCGATACTTATTCTACATGGAAATACCAGCACAATCTTGTGTATCAAAAATTGTGTAAAGAACTTTAATCGCTGATAACTGGCTTAAGCGCTAGTAGGTTTTAGTTAATATTAAATAAAATTTGTTAAATAAATTAATTAAAAATGTTAGAAATTTCATAATTGTTTTTTTAGTGAAATTATTATGCATGAACTACCAAAACAATCATTCTTAACTTGAGTTCAATATTTTTGTCGCACGGGCTATAAACAATTTTTATTGTGGGCAACTAACTCAAACCCTCGTAGCGTTTGGTTCAAATTGATTGAAATGACACTACTATTTTTATTAATATTTAATACGTTAAGTATATACTGTTAAAATTATTTATTTTGCAAAATTCATTCTGTATGAACTATCAAAACACACTCATTGCTGAGTCTAATGTCCTTGTCGCAGGCAACTGACTCAAGTACTTCTTGTTCATTCTTTGATTTGAGTTATTGAATGAAGTCCCACATATGGTTCAAATATACTCCATTGAGTTTGAGTATTTCTAATTTTAAGTATAAAATTAGTTAACTCCTGATGCACTACAATTTGTTGCACAATTAGGCGTAAGACACTTAAATTTATATAGTCACTATTTGTATGATATATTAGTGCAATGAATGCTTACAATTAAAAATACTTGTACAAATATTCCTTTATCATTGTCAGAGGAGTTTTCGTAATGTAAGTTAAAGTAACCTAAAACTGAGAAGTCTATAGGTGGAAAGGGCTATATTTTATAGCCTATGTATAATATGTAATCTCATAAAGCACTTCTAAGCCTTATTAAGCTGGAATTTAGAGTTAGCTAACCTAACTCGAATAGGTCAGGATATGAAGATCCGAAGTATTGATACGAAGAGCAACATTTATAATCAGAAACAACCCATTTTGCCCATTTTAATATTCTTAATAAGCGGTTGGTAGAACAAAAATAATTTTAAAAATTGGGAATGTGAGTATGTGCTACTCATGAGCACTTTAATAGCACTTTACTGATAATTTTCAGCACTATTTTTCTTACTTTTGTGCTTTCAATTAATTATTACATGTAAAGGTCTTATGCATTCCATTTCTTGAGATATGGATGCAGTTTCTCTACTCATGAGGAAGCTACTTTTTTAATTGTAAAGTAAGATAAAAATATATTATGCTTTTAAGTAATGGTATATAGAATTCATTGCAGTTTATACAACAAAAAAAAATAAATATAAATTATTTAGCCTTTTTCTTAAAGTAAAGTAGGCTTTTAAGTGATAATATATAGGGTCTGTTGTATTGTTCTTAATATAGAATTGAGAGACAAAAATTAGAAACATAAGAAATAGTTGTTTATGGTTAAATTAGCTCATTTTTAAGATAAAATCGAGATATATCGGGATATATGCCTCTTATAAGGAGCTGCTAGAAAGTTGGTATTAGTGGAAGAATTATAAGAAAAAGGAATCTGAAAAATAATTGTTAATGATTGAACTAATATGTTTGTCGGTAAGTAGTTTAAGGAGATATTAAACTTTTAAGTGATAATATATTGAATTTAACTTATTTTCAATTAAAATAAAAAACTTGTAATATAAGTTATATAATGAAAAAAAATCAATTTAAAAAAATCAGCAATAAACCATTTCAAAAAAAATATAATAAAATAAAAAAAAAATGGAAAAAAATTTTTAAACTAAAAATGAACTCAAAATAAAATAAAAACCAAAATTATTTTTTTTTTTTATAAAAAGATTTGTTTTTTAATTGTATTTTGTTTGGTATTAAATTCTAAAAAACATGTTTCCATTCACTGATTCTTTCACTAATTATAATTATTGCTTTGAAAAATAATATTTTTTGTATTTTTTTTTTGCTTTAATTATTTTCTTAATAAAATCTGCATTTGCATATATATAGTATTTTGTTGAACTTTTTATTTTATAGTATAGATTTATATATGTATTTTGTTTGCTATTCAATTTTAATTGTTTTTAATACAAAAGTGTACAAATAGAAACAGGTCAAAAGCACCGAACTTCAGCTAAGATTTTGTTTTTGTATCTAAAACTACGCTACAACTACATACAAATTACACTAGTCATACAGTACAATAATTATTTAAACTAATTTAATTAAATTTATTTTAATTATAATTTGCAATTGCAATAATTTTTTTCAATTATCATTACGTATTCATTACTCATTATGTAGTAATTAATAATTTATTTTAATTTTACAATTAAGCAGTAGGTAAAAAATATGTTTTACAATATGCATAACTTTAAATATTGTATATATTAATTAATATACTAATTAATTAATATGCTTAAATAATTACATATAAATATAAAAGTAGCATAAAATCGTTTATAACTTTAATATTTAAATATTTACAAGTTGATATAAATATTTTCTTATTTTATATTTATTAAATATATTAAATTTATTTATTTATTGTTGGTTTTTGCTTTAGGAATTTTGTTTAAAAATTTATTTGTATTTGTTTTTAAATTTCTTCTTTTATGTTTTTTTTTGTTTGTTTAAACTGTTCAAGAAATCAAAAGAAAAGTGAAAAAATTTTACCAAAAAACTGTTTGAAAAAATTATAAAAATTATTTGAAATAATTTTTTTAAATTATTTACAAGCCTTTTAAGTATTTAGCTGTTGTTTAGTTATCAATTATTTAAATTTTATTTAGCAAACGAAACCAAACTTGCTTCTCTCGTATGTTGCAATCAAAGTTTTTGCTGTGTTTAGTTTGTTAAAATAATTAAGTTTAAAATTAAATTTAAATTAAGGCAACTATTATTTTTTATAATATTTTAAAGTTCAATTTTCAATCAATTTTCTCACAGTTTCTTATCGTTTCTAATCGTTTCTCTTAGTTTCTCATATATGTATATATAATATTAACATCTTCATTTGCGTATATGTAGTTCAAAATTAAACGTAATTAAATGCACTTTCATAAACTTAGCTCATAATTAATTTAAGTTAAAAACTACATTTAGCTCACTTAAAATATAAAAAGATTTAATTAAGCGTCCACGTTTAAAACGCGCGGTACAAAATTTACAAACAACTGTAAAGATATAAAAATTTTAACAATAAATTTTTAAGACTTCTTATCAAAAATAAACAATTCAGTTAATTTAATTGGCTGCCAATTTTGAGATCGTTTCAAAAGAAATGAAGTGTATAAATTTTGTCATTTTCACCAATTGAATACAAATTTGTTGCTGTTTTTTGAGAATTTTTATTTAAATTTAAATTTAGTAATACTTTTCATTATTATACTAGGCTTTTGTGCTTAAGAAAAAACATAATTAAACTTCACAATTCCACTCAACTTTTGAGTGCACTCATTTTCACACTCAACTCAGCACTCAGCACTCGGCACTCGGCACTCAGCACTCAGCAGTTCAACATAACCATAACATAACCATAAATAAATAAATTTACTTTTAAAATATTGCACTTGTTTAAACGGCAAAAGCTTCTAAGGAAAATACGAGTACTCAACTTATTCCAATAGCTATAAAACAATAACATCCTCCCACTCGATGATCTCAACCAATGCCTCGTCCTATGTGCACTCAATGATCATTGGCTGATTCGACTCAATCACTGAAGGACGATTCTCGGCCGCTGAATGCGCGTGCGCAACACTCATATATTGCTCATTGCCGGCTGCATTATTGCTGACCACATTGCCGCCGTTGTGCAGATGCAATTGTTGTTTGGCTGTTTTGAGTGTTTGTTGTTGCAGCAGGTGATGTTGCTGCTGCTGCTGCTGTTGCTGCTGCTGATGATGATGTTGATGCTGCATTTGATTTGTAGTCGTCAGTAGCATAGTTGCTGCGTTTGGCGGTGGCAAATGCGCTATATGTTGCTGTAGCATAGCAGCATGTTGCGGCGGTTGTGGTTGCTGTTGTTGTTGTGCGTGTGGCATATGAGCGTGTGCTTGTTGTTGCTGTTGCTGGTGGTGATGTTGTTGCAATGAGCCCTGTTGTTGCAGAGACATAAGACGAGGTGGCGAATGATGTCCACCCATATGTCGTAAATGTGGGTGCAATTGCTGTTGCATTTGTTCAAAAGCCTCTCGGGAGTCTGGTTCTGGTAAGTCTTTATCTATTAAAGAATAAAGAATAATTAAATGAAAAAAAATTAAAAATTTATTAACAAAAAATTATTATTTATTTATAATTTTTATAATAAAATATCAATTCAAACCTACCCAGACATTCGGATGTGGCTGCAGCAGCCATCGCTAGCTCTTCTTCCAGATTATTCGGTTTGCAACTTGTCGTTTTCCAGTGTGTGCGCAAACCAGAAGCACTGATGTACTTTTTATCGCAACCCTGACATACGTAAGGTCGATCGTTTGTATGCAGCCTCTTATGCAATTTCAAGTGCACGAACTGCGTAAACTTCTGTGGGCAGAGATCGCAGGCGTACGGCTTCTGTCCGCTGTGCAATCGTAAATGCGTTTTTAGGTTGGACGTTGAGGAGAAGCGTTTCTTGCAGATGTCGCATTGATGTGGCTTCTCGCCTGTATGCACCAAGTGGTGTTTCTGCAAATGTGCCAACTGCGTGAAGCTCTTAGTACACACATTGCACTTGAATGGGCGTTCACCGGAATGTGTGCGTAAATGCACTTTTAAATTGCTTAGCTGTCCGAATGTCTTGCAGCAAACATTGCATTCATAGTGCATTTTGCCATCCTTCTTCTTAAGTGGATACGGCAGTGAACGATAGCCACGTGAACCCAATGAGTTGGGACTTAATGGACTTCCACTACGTGGACATGAATTACCATCCGGACTGAGACTGCTCGGTGGTGATATGCGTAGCGGTGATAAACGCTGCAGTGGTGCCAGCGGTTGCATCAATGGATGATTAAGCATTTGTGTGCTGCTCTGCAATAAATGCAAATTAGGCATGGAACCGCTTGATGTGCTGGACTGACGATCAAATGGTGAGTGTGCGCTGTGTGGCGGTGAATGGAACGTAGAGGTGGGTGCATGTAAACCGTGTACTGTGCCACCATTCGTACTGCCGTTGGAGTACGGCGAGTATGTGGAATAGGGTGGTGTTTGTTGTCCATCATTGACGTAAGTGGCATGCGCTGGAGCTGGTGAGAATATGACGTGATGTTGGCTATGCGGAGGTGGTGAACATGTTTCTTTAATGCGTGTCGTTGCGACAATCACCTCGGTTTCATGAGCATCATTGATTTGGTCATGTGCTTGCGGTAGATTCGAACTTGAGTCCGGACTTACTGCATTGACATAGCGTTGTGATTTTTTGTATGAATAAGCCATTTCAGTCGGTGATGTTGGTGGTGGTGTTGCGGAATTTACCTGGCGGCAAGCGGCAGCTGCAACAGCAGCAGCTTCCAAGCGATGCTGACCGGTCAGTATTGTTTCAAGTATGCTTGAGGAAGGGGGTGAAAAGCGTATGTAGGGTGATGCAGTTTGTCCTTGTGTTGGCGGTGGTGAAGTTGATTCAGCTTCGTAGTACGGCTTGTTTAGTGGCATAATGGTACGTGTTGGATGCGCAGCACTGTGCTCTAGCACAATGACAGTACTCGAAGCTTGTTGCGTCAAGCCATGTGTGGTCGATGCTGGCTCATGTTCTTGTGCCATTGGCTCATCATTCATTATGGACGTAGTGCAAGGGATTGTTGTTTCAGTCGCACCTAAAAGATCATCCTCACTTGATGTGGCGTTGGCCGTTTCAGTTGGTGATTCATTTAGGTTAGTGTTGGCGTGGCACGCCTCAGTCTTGATGCTGCATTTGCTATTTTTGAACTCGTATTTAAGCGGCATTTTAACCTTAAATTTGCGATATTCATTTTTGTCGCAGTCGGCGACGGCAGCTGCAGCGGTTACTGCCACGCCACTGTTGTTTGCAACAATGTTAGTTTGTTTCTGTGGGTGAGTTATAACAGTCTCTTTGGGTGCTATTGCCTTCTTAGAACAGTCCAACACGTAATTGTGTTCGCTTTCGCTATCACTGGAATCTTCTGGTGGAGTCAAGTTGTCCTCGTGGTACTCATTACTATGATAGCCTTCATCGGAACGCACTGAACGTACGCTGCCATCGTTTGGCGTTAATTGGTGTTCATACTGCGTGTCCTTCACATCTTTCGAGCCACAATCGCTACTGGCTGGAGAACGATCACGTACAATAACTGAAGTCGACTCTTGCAAGACATTATGCAGGGTTTGATGGTGAGGAATTTGGTGCGGGACTTGATGCGTGTGTAAACGTTGCTGCTGACTATGCAGTATATGCGGATGCATATGTTGCTGCTGTGTTAGTTGTTGGCTACTGGTATTTGCTGATACTGTGTTGGGAATGGGCGGGGAAGGACTGGGTGTGATTGAAGGTCTATTTGAATTACTTGAAGCTGCTGTTGGTACAGGCGGTGGTAAACGTAGACCCATAACATACGTAATATGGTTGTAGGCCACCTCATGTGGAATTTCTGGTGCAGGCATGGCATATGGTGAAGTGGAGGGTTTCTTGTGGCATAACATATCCTCTTCAGTCATGTCTTCATCTTCGTCTTCTTCTGCTGAATGCTTGCAGGCGCCAAATATAGTGCGCTCCGGATCAACATCATAGCCAAGCCGCCTAGCAAAATCCTTGCAGTACCAGACCATCAGCTCTTCGTTGGGTCTAATGTCCCGTGTTGTATAGAAGTAGATATTCTCCTGATGTTGACACGCAACCAAATTCATGACGGATAGACTATATGCGGAGGCTACGTAACGCATCCAGTTAGACTGTGCACGATCCGAACCATCCAAGTAGTAAAAATCATCATCCTTGAAGATCTGTGGGGAGAAAGAGAAGAGAAAGAAAAGAAATGGGATCGGGGTTAGTTAGGAATATCATATTAAGCAGTGGGCCAGTGCGGACAGACAAAGTGCTATCTGCAACTGGTCGTTTGGAAAATTTTGAAAAATTCTACTATTTTTTGTGCTTTTTCCAAACAGAAAAATAAAATCAAAATACACAACAATAAATAGAACAACAAAGAGAATTTAGAAACAGAATAGTTTACACACACAAACACACATAAAAGCAAAACATATTTACAAATTAGTAGTAGGATTAGTAGTAGTAGAAGAGCAGTAGTAGTAGTATTAGTAGTAATAAGGAAAAATTAAAAAATTAAGATAGAGGGAAAGCGCAAAGCGTAATAGTAGCAAAGTAGTTAAAAAGCGTAAAAATAGTACCTTAATGTTCCCGTAGGTAATGTGGCGTGTTCCCTGCACCTGATTGATTGATTGGTTTTGGTTTGATTTGATTTGGTTTTTCGAATTTAGTAGATTTTTGTATTAGATTTTTTTTGGGGTTAAACACATGAAACAAAACGGAAAAACGGTTTGGTTTTTGGTTAGTTAATTAAAAATTTAAATAGATTTTTTTTGTTTAATTTTTGGTATGATTTCGTTAAAATGATGGATGGATAATGGCATGAGTGGTTAGGCTGGCGGATGGCTAGTTGGCTATTTTTAAGTAAGCTTAACAAATTATAAGCAAAAGCGGCTTTTACCGATTTTGTGCCTTATTTATACACATACGTATATATGTATATACATATATATCATTAGATGTAGTACCATATGCGTATAAATAAGTATAGATTTAAGTGATTCATATATATTTTCTAAAAATTAATGGAAAATTATTTAAAATTATTCACAAAATGATATGTCATATAAAAATATAAATACCAATGCTTTATGTCATGATTAATTAAAAATTATTTATTAATTATATGCTTAATTGATTGACTGATTGGCTTGACTTTTCTTATGAGTTAAAATGATATTGAGTTTGAGTGAAATTATTTCAAAACGACTAGGATTGTTATGCTTACCCGCCAGAAGTATCTTGCTTTATTCTTATCGTTGGGATATTGTGGAGTTGGAACACCTTCAAATGGACCAAAACGTGTGCCGCGTGGTATAACACCGATGCTCCAAACTCCTTCAGTCTGTAAAAATAATTAAAGTAAAATTTAATTTTATTCAATGGTTGTGATGCATTAATAATGAATATATATGTGAAATTACTGTTTTTTGACTCATTTTGGGTGGAGTTAGCTCTTCAAGTCTACCCATGGCTAAGTGCTTGAAAACATAATGCATTAATAATGAATATATATATTTAGACATATTTATTTCAGCGATATTTGGTTATATTTCAGGAGTCGTATTGCATTAATTAAAATTTATATATAATATAAATATATATTTATATACTTTTAAAATTAATTAAGGGAGGTGTTCCATAATCTTCTTTATTAATATTATATATCAGTGTTATATACCCGAATATGCAATTTAAGTTTCTAAATCTCCTTATCACCAATCCAACTGACTTCGTGCTAAACATATTTTTAATACTAAACCTCATAAGTAAAACCTCATAAGACTTCGACAACTGTGGGCAGCTCCACATACTACATCATAATTTAATAAAAAACTATAGATAATTATAATCTTACATATCTTACTTAGAAAAAGCAAAAAGTGTTCACACAAATTTTATTAAAATTTTTAACCAATTAAAACGCATAACCCCAGAGAAATCTGATGTCTTAAAGCGGGCACTACTCCTGAGAATGTCTTGAGAATGGAAAGACCCTGGTATTAAAGGAATGGTCATGGAATAGTGCCCTTTTTGCCTTCAACAGAATTGTCCCAGTATCAAAGGAATAGTGATAGAATAGTCTGTCTTAAAGAAGTACTGATTTTATAACAGAATACAGAATAGATCTGGAACCAAAGAAAAAGTCTATCCTAATATAGTGGCTGCTCTTAAAGTATATTCAGATATACATTAATTGAATATAAAAGTGTATATACTGAGAACAGTATGATTCTTTTTAAAGTGTAGTCTTCCATATTTCTATTATAGGGGTACCAAGGGAATAACTATGTATGTCGAATCATTAATCTTTAAAGACAAATAATGAAAATCAATCTTTATCCTTAGAGACACCAGATATACTACATGAATAAGTATTTCCTAAATCCTTACCTTAACATTTGGCGTTGAAAAAACCATTGATGGCTTCAAAGTTAAACTACGTGGCAGCGTTTTATCTGCCCTATTCGGTGTGCCGCGCTCGCACTGCACATCTGGAACTATATAGACGGCCAGCCGTTGAAAATCTTGCTCTCTCATACGTGTCACATCGTAGTCCCGACTACCATCCGGTGAAGGACTACGTGCATTATTTGGCGGGCTCATAGCTCTTGTCACACCTACAGCTGCCGCCGCTGCCGCTGCTGCTGCCGTTGTTGTTGTTTGTATTGTTGTTGTACCTGTTGTTATATTTGTTGTTATTGTATGTGTATTAACTGTGGATAATGTGTTATTGCTGCTGGTGGTATTATGTTGGTTCATTTTGCTGGTGGTATTGGATGATTGTTGCAAATGTAGATTATGTTGCTGATGGATGTTCATTTTGATTTATTAAAATTAAAAATTTCTTTGTATGGCTATTTTTTAATTAAAGCAATTTTAGAAGTTTCAATTGTGGTATGTATCTTTGCCTGTTGAAATCTGCCTCTAGTTTTTAGGGATACAGGAAACTCAGTTGCGCAAGATATAATTGAATTATTGATTCTGTAAAAATAGAAAAGAAATTGTTAATTAGTTTTTGTTTATATGTCAAGCAAATATTGATTTATAATAAAAACAAGCAAAAACTAATTTCACTTTTACACAAATTTTCTTTACTCGATTTTATTTCAAAACAAAGGTCAAGTGTGAAGGTCTTCAGCTGCTATTAAAATGCAATTTTATTTTAAACGACTATACACATATATATATATATGTATATATGTGTATATATGCGATAAAGATATTTAACCTTAAACTTGAAAGCGAAAATAATTGCAAATGTTCTGTTTAAATGTCAAATGAAATAAGCACATAATTGCATTAAACACAAGTTGGTTACATTATTTTGCCCCTTTTTCGAGAACGCCCCCCATCTTCAACTATCTACGTCAATTCTTATGCAAATTATAGATAATTTTTTTTTTTTTTATTTGAACTGCACTTTGGTTGCTTTTCTATATGTGTTTGTGTTTCATGTGTTGCATTTTCCATATGCACTGTGATGACATTTCAATCGTTGCACTCTTTACTATAATACCACAAAAAAAAAATAAAAATAAAAATAAAAATAAAAATGAATTCACTTTTACTTTAGATACTTTTTTTGCAAAAAGTCTGGTAAATTTTGCCGACTCAACGATAACGTGCTGAGTGAAAAATTATCTCCGTGCATTTCTAATATTGAGTGAAATATATCAACTGTGGATATATATCGCTATACACCTCAACACATATATATTTGTATAAATCTTTTGCAAATAGTAGAGGGAGAATATTTTCTTTTATCTTTTCTATATATATTTAAGAACTTTTTAGTATTTTTATAACGCATGAATGAAGCTGAGTGTTTCATTGTCTTAAAGTAACAAAATTCAAGAAATATTCTATGAAGTATAATGCTTGCTTATTCTCATACACCACCCTGCTACCCCTTTTTCTACCACTGAGTATTAGTTAATTTGAAAAATAAATTAAATAAAATAAAATAATTTATGCTCAATGCTTAACACTAGGCCGCACATGATTTATATATTAATGTTAGCCACTCTCAATGCTTTGCTTTGCTTGAGCATATTTTGCATCTACCGCAAAATGTTTGAGTGGAAATATTGAGTCACTCGTGCTCGAATGAAAAAAGTTTCAATGGCGTCGCTTTTGTCGCTTTCGTTGCGTTCCTCGTGCATATCGTTGGGTTCTTTCTAAATGTTGTGCTGCTTGACTTATTCGTTAGTCCTCGTCCGTGTCGTTGGTGTTGGAAAATTTTCCCAGTGTATCGTTTTTGCCTATTTTGCAGTTCAAGATTGCGGCCTTAATGGAGGTTACGTTCATGGATGCGGCATTTGCTGTTTGCAAATGAAGCGAGCGGGTTAAGGTGAAGTGTGTGAATGAGACAGCTGCCATTATTGTTTTGAAGACAGTAAGAAAATGCAATATTGATTGTATTTGAAAAATAGTTATGGAACCCGGTTTATGTTGATACACAAACGAAAACTATAAATAAACTACAATTCTCGTGTAGTTTTCACATAAAAATAAAAATTTCATTTACTTAATTAATTAAGGTTTATAGCTTACCAGTTAAGCTTATTATGGTTTTTGTTTATTAAAATGTTTAAAAAATATTTTATTTGAATTTATTTCAATTTATTTGAATTTATTTGAATTTTAAAATCTTCTTGTGAGTTTTTTCTTATAAAATGTAATTTTTTTTCACTTTTAATTATTTAGAAATCATTTAATTCACTTTTATGGGAATGTTAATTTGATTTGTTTTTCTTTTTGTAAGTAGAATATTTTTCATTCATTTCACTTTTGCTTTCAATTTTCAGCATTAATTGTTTTTAAGTATCAAACGAATATATTTGAATGTTTGCAGTTCAAAGTATAATTTTTACTAATTTTATATGTGCACGTCATTAAAAGTGTGAAAATATATTTCAATTCCAATTATTGCAATAATTTTTTTAACAAAATATTTGTGCGCAAGGGTCGCCTGCATAATTTTCAGTTAATTTTTTCAATACATTTTTTTCTGTTGTGTTTCTAAATAAATCTAAAAAATTAATATTTTATAAATTTTACTAAAATTTTGATTTAAACTTTTACATTCATGCATATATTTTCATTTTCATTATTGCTTTTCAATATTTTTCTTTTTTTGTGTTGCTTTGCATTTCTATTTTCCTATTTTTTGTACTTAAGACTTTCTATTAAAAAGTTTTTGTTTAAAATAATTTTTTATGCGCTCGCACCCTTTCGGCTGCATTCTAAAGTGCACTGTGCCCACTACTGAACTACCGCACACAGAACTTTTTCCACAATTCCACAGTAAGAAAGCATTTTCGAGCGCTTTTCCCATATATACAATATACAATATAGAATACGTATATATTTCAGAAATATTTTGTCATTATTTGCATTTCATTTAATTTCGTTTTAATTTTATTTTATTTAGATTTTGCGAGTACAAGTTTGTGTGTGCATATGCGGAAATTCTAATAGTTCAGCCCAAATTTTGTATCCCACTACTGACCCATTTACTAAACTCATACGAATGCAACGACTGTAGTCGTGTTGTATGCAAAAATGACTCTTTTGTCATTCGTATGAGTGCACCAACACATAACACTCAAATTGAGTGCTTTTCTTAGGGTTGCAAATTTGTTGGAATTGCAGTGCACATTAGCAAAATGCAGAAACAAAGTGTGTGTGAGAGAGAGAGTGAGAGAGTATATGTGTAATGAGTAATAGCGTGCAATAAAAGCTCTTAAAAGCTACTTTTCTATTGTTGCATTCTTTTATTGTTGAGCATTTATGGTTGGTATAGACAATCCTCAATTGATTGTGGAAGGACCGAACCATCAGTCTTGGTTGGTCTATTATTTCTGCTTCTGTGTGAACATGTATTTATACTTTTCACTTAGCACAATTAAAGATATATGATGAATTTTTCAATTAATTTAAATATAATTTACATATATTTCGATTATTCTAACATATGGTATTATCTGAATGGTAATTCAGAAATCATTAGTTTTGAAATTTGAGTCAACTTTTTTTATTTTCTGCTTCTTAAATGGTAGTACTCAATAGTTGTTGATTCTTAAATGTAATTTTATATTTTGCATATAATTTAAATTTCATACTATACTTTTTATTTTTGACAAATTATAAAAATTTTTATACAAATTATTTTTTTATAATAAATATCGTATTATTTTAAAGGCAGAGGAGCTCACGACCTTTTAAAATAAAATTTATGGAAATTTATTAGATAAAAGTTATTTAAATATATATAAACAAATTAAGGAAATAAATTAATGAATGGTTATTTAATTAACTTTGATTTTATTTTAATTAAAAATTAATATTTATTTTATTTTTTTCATTTGATTTTAATTTATTAAATTTTATTTTATATTTTATTATTATTACAACTTCATCTTATTTTGTAATAATTCAAAATTTTTTATTATTTTTCATTTCAATGTATTTAATTCTATTTCATATTGTTTTAATTTATTTTATTTTATTTAATTTTATTTTATTTTATTTTATTTTATTTTATTTTATTTTATTTTATTTTATTTTATTTTATTTTATTTTATTTTATTTTATTTTGTATTTTATTTTATTTTATTTTATTTTATTTTATTTTATTTTATTTTATTTTATTTTATTTTATTTTATTTTATTTTATTTTATTTTATATTATTTAATTTAATTTTATTTATATTTTATTTATATTTTATTTTATTTTATTTTATTTATTTTATTTTATTTTATTTTATTTTATTTTATTTTATTTTATTTTATTTTATTTTATTTTATTTTATTTTATTTTATTTTATTTTATTTTATTTTAGTTTACTTTATCGAATTTTATTTTATTTTTGT